ACTAACGTAGCCGACGAAGAATGCCAAGTCCGGCCGTGTGTGGGCGAGGTAGCGAAGGCTCCCCACAAGACGCCGGTACTGCGTAGTGTCCACCTCCTCCGTCGTGCTGTCGCAGCTCAGCTTCAGCCTCTCCTCCATCGGAGTGAGAGCTGGGTTGCAGTCGGTGAGCCCAGCTACCTCAACGATGCGCTTGGCGTAGGCGGTCTATCGAAGCGTGATCCTGGAGTCATCCTGGTGCACCTCAATTCCCAGGTAGAAGGAGAGAGGCCCCAAGTCACTCATCTGGAAGGTGGCCTTCATCTCTTCCTTGAATGCCGCCACCTCCGCATCCTTGGTGCCGGTGATCACCAAGTCGTCGACGTAGACACCCACCAGCAAAACATTTCCTCCACTGCCCCGTCGGTAGATGGCCGCCTCGTGTGGGCTTTGCTCAAAGCCCATCCCCTTTAGTGTGGAATCCAACTTGGCATTCCATGCCCTCGGTGCCTGCCGCAAGCCATTGAGGGCCTTGCGCAGGCAGAGCACCTTGCCCTCCTTGCCGGGGATCGCAAATCCCGGCGGCTGGTGCACGTAGACCTCCTCCTTCAAGTCGTCGTTAAGGAACGCCGACTTGACGTCCATGTGATGAACACGCCAGCCCTTCTGGGCAGCAAGCGTAAGGAGTCGCATGGACTCCATCCGTGCCACGGGAGCAAAGGCGTCGTTGAAGTCGACCCCCTCCTGTTGCACGAAACCTCGTGCCACCAATCGAGCCTTGTGCTTGACGATGGCACCGGCTTCATCCCTCTTCAGCTTGTACACCCCCTTAAGGGTGATCACACGGTGACCACGGGGAAGGTCAGCAAGCTCCCTGGTGCGGTTCTTCTCAACCGCATCCATCTCCAACTGCATCGCGGCGCGCCATGCCGCGTGTCTCTCGGCCTCTGCAAACGACCGAGGCTCGCCATCGTCACACGCAATGTGCAACTGCGCCTCCAGGTCGTGAGGCACCAGTCTCGGCACCGGCTGGTCGCCGAGAAGGTTCTCCATCGTACGGTACCGCAATGGCTCGCCGTCGTGGTACGCGTCGATGCGCTCCTCATCGTGAGAGAGCAAAGTAGCGAGCTCAACCGGGCTGTGCTCAACATGAGCTGGTGTTGGAGTAGACGTGCTCGGATAGGTGTCTGTCGGTGCCGGAGTGCGTGGTGGTGCCGGGCCGTGGTGGAGCCAATGAAGAACTCATCGCAGCCGAGGTCCCGGCCGGAGAGCGGGTCTTTGCTGGAGTAGCAGCGCCGGTCGTTGGAGGCTCGTGGGATCGGGTAGACGCGCTGTCGAAGAAGAGCCGCCTACTCCCCGCCTCCCTCGGCGTGGGCGTACTCGACAGTGAAGTCGCCAGACGCCGGAGCCAAGCTGTTGCCCACCGCTTTGTCCCCCACGCCCATCTCGCCCTTTCGTTGAACACAACGCCGCACGCCGCGGCGCACACGCCGTCTTCGTGTCGAGGATGCGTAGGCCTTCGAGCCCTCCTCATAGCCGATGAACACTCCCGGAGTGCTCCCCGCTGCCGAGCTTGCTTGATGTGGCTAAGCTCCTTGGCTAACGCGAGGCGCACCAAGACCCGCAGTGGGAGACCGCCGCTTGTGCCCATGCCAAGCCTCATACGGTGTCTCGCCGTCGAGCGCCTTGGTAGGCGAGCGGTTGAGGATGTAGACGGCCGACACCACCGCCTCTCCCTAGAAGACAGCCGACATCCCCCTCTGCTTGAGAAGGGCCCGAGCCATCCCCACAACCATCTCGGTTTGCGCCGCCGACGACGCTGCTCATTGCTGGGCTGTACGGGCGCAGTAGTAGTGGCGCTGAATGCCCTTATCAACAGAGACGACGCGAATTCAACCGCCGTGAATTCGCCGCCGTTGTCGTCGGTCGCGCAAGATGTGCAGCTTATGGCCAAGACTCCGCCTCCGCAGAGAGTCAAGGCTACCGATGGCATCCGCAGCTCTCCCTTGCCGCCGAGGACCATTACCCACATGTAGCGGGAGAGGTCATTGACGAGCAGCAGGAAGTAGCGTCGTCCTCCCGGTGTGGCCGGTGTCACTGGGCCACACAAGTCCCCGTGCACAAGCTCGAGCCTCTCCTTGGCTCAAAAGCTCGCCCGCTGGGGAAAGGGGAGTCACCTCTGCTTCGTCAACACGCAGACATCGCAGAGCTGCCCCACATGGTCGAGGCACGGCAGGCCTCGCACCATTTCCGTGGCACTGAGCCGCTTCAGGGTCTCAAAGTGAAGGTGCCCGAAGCGCTCGTGCCACTGCCATGCCTCGTCATCCCGACGAGCAGCGAGACAGAGGGGTTGTGCCACCTGCACGTTAAGGACGTAGAGTCGATTTGCGCTTCTGGTTACCTTGGCAAGAAGGCGACGACGGCGATCCCAAATCCTCATGACTCCATCCTCAACCACCACGCGCGAACCGTTCTCATCCAGCTGTCCCAAGTTGATGATAGAGTTCCTCAACGCGGGGATGTAGTGACTCCGGTGAGCGTACTCAGGCTCACCAAACATGGCGGTGAAGATGACGGAGCCGACGCCTTGATCTCCACGCCGAGGCATCCCCAAACTTGACGGAGCCTCGGACGCTAGAGTCAAGCTCGGTGAAGAACTCCGTCGACCGGTCATGTGATGGGTGGCGCCGTGTCGAGGCACCACCCGTTAGTCTTGTCGCTGCTTGGAGCCGCCACCGAAGAGGGCGTGTGCTTTTGGCTCATCAAAGTGGAGGAGAGCCGCGATGCACTGCGTGCACCGAGGTAGCTCAATGCTTGCATGTGCCATGAACAGAGCCGGCTCCTCCTCCGCCTATGCGACGTAGGCTTGGCCGCGTCGTGGCTGTCAACACTCCTTGGCCCAATGGCCAAGCTAGCCGCAGTTTATCTAATGTTAATATTTGCATTTATCTAAAGTTTGAGAATAATAATAATACAAAAGAAATGCATCTAACAACCTTAAATAGAATAAAAAATTAATATGCGCTAATATATATACAAGTATAATAAAATACTATAGTATTCATGCATCTAAAAACCTTAAATGATACTTTTTTCCTGAAGCTTGGCTCGCTTTAGCTCATGAAATGCTCATGAGCTGGCTCGTTATAGCTAACGAGCTAAAATCTTGAGCTCGGCTCGGCTCGTTATCTTAACGAGCCGAGCCGAGTCGAGCTACCACGAGCCGAAAGCGAGCTAACGAGCTTTGAAGTTTTTCGTCCAAACCTTACGCCTGCCTCGGGCGCCTTCAGGCGCTTTGCGCGGCTTGCCACGCTTATGTCACTGTCATGCGGAAGAAGGCTCCCCTTCTTTCGGTCACCTTGGCAGGCAACCCATCGCTTCCCCGAGTGAGAAGGAGCTTCCCGCCAGCGGTGATGGGCCCCGAGAGATCAGTGGCTCATCGCCGCCGACGACCTTGAGGCGACCTATCGCCTCCTCGATCGACATCGTGGAGAGATCCAGCAGAGACTCAATCGAGTGAGCCATCTGCTTGTACTTCTCGAAAACACAGTGGAAGAGCTTTTCGACAGCTCTCTCCTCGTCGTAGATGTCATCGCCGAACTGCACCATCTTCTGTAACAGAGTGTTGAGACAGAGAGCAAAGTCATCAACATCCTCATCCGGCTTGAAGGCTGTGCTCTCCCACTCTTGGCGGTGCTGCGCAGTGTGGACTTGCGGGCGCGGTCGCTGCCGATGCGTGCCGCAGCGATGGCGTCCCAAGCCTCTTTGGCAGTCCGCTTGTTGGTAAGCGAGAACTGCATCTCGGATGGGACTGCAGCAATGAGGGCATCCAGCGCCCATCGATCCTGGTCGTAGTCGACGTCGTCGTACCAGACTGCCTCCCACATATGCCGCACCTGGAGCTTTACCCTCAACACCGCAACCCACTCGACGTAGTTGGTCTTAGTGAGGGTAGGCCACCCACCGCCGGGGCCGACGTCCCTGACAACATCTTGAAGCCCGTGGTAACCACGGTACCGATCCGGGGAGAGAGCCACGCTGCCTGTGAAGGCCGCGCTCTCCATCGACCCGTCCGCCACCGTTGTGCGCGCCTCCTCCAGGAGCGCCGCCGACGCGTCCGCGCCTGTCTAGGCTGCCGCCGCGCTTGTGGGCGTGCGTGGGCGCCATCAAGGCCGCGCCAGCCGCCGCTACCCTCCCTCCCCAGCAGCTCGAGCTCGCCGACGCCGTGTCCAACGTAAAATGGAGCTGCTGATGTCGCCGCCATAACCTCGACCTCCGTTGCCGCCCGCACAGATCCATCACCGCTGCTGCGCTTCCGCCTCGCTCTGGTTGCTGCCACCGACGCTTTGCCCGCCCAAGAAGCTGTCTCTGCCGCCACTGGCTTCGCGTTCTCTGCCAGCGTAAGTTCGGCCTCCTGCCGCCGACGCCAAGGCGTTTCGAGGCGCATCGAAGGCCGAGATCTGTTTTACGGACATGACGCACTACCGGAGGATCACTATGGGAAGAGGACTGCCAGACGCGCAGAGAGAGAGAGGAGGAGCAAGAGGGTCTTAATCATTGTTGTTGCTCCCAGTTGAGGCTATTGTGAGGCTGAAAAAGAAGATGTGCAGGAGATACTCAGGCTACAGGATAGTACCGCTCTAATACCAGTTGTTAGTCGCTGAATTCTTACTCTTGGTAGTAACAAAATTCTTACTCTTATCAAGAGAGGATGACACTAGAAGTTAGAGCAATTTTTTGGTTTATTTCTCACACAAATGCTATGTCAACCTAAGGGGTTAGGAATACATATTTATAGGCTGCTAGCCAGCCAAGCATATGCCAAGATGCTAGATGCTAACATGCTGTCCTAAAACAGATGTTGTCCTAGATGCTAAGATGTTGTCATAGCCAGTCAAAGATGCTGTCCTTGATGAGCAGCAAGACCATCATGCAGCCACAAGGACTATATACTGCAGCCCCACATAGACCAGCCAACACAGAAACTTATCCCATCAACATTGTTATTCTCCTTGTTCGCAGTGTTAGCATTGTAATTTGCGGGCATTGATCTCCATCTTGCGCAGGGCAGCCCTGCCGAGGTCGACGCCGCACATGTCTGACAGCCGCACCAGATAGAGGAGCATATCCGCGAGTTCCTCACCCAAGTGCTCCTTCTCGTCATCGTCCCAGTCTGGCAGCCCCTTGGGCACCTCCCCTTTCCATTGGAATATCTCAGACAGCTCCCCACCTCCCCTACCTGCACAACACCAAGCACAAACATGCGTGATAAGGGACATGAAAATCCAGGGAAAAATTTTGCTGGGTGCCAATTAGATTATACTAGACCCAGGAGCTAGTTAGTAGCTTACACATTGCCCATTATGGGCATCTCCTAGCTGGGCAACACTTGGAAAGAAAGGGTGTTGTATAACTTTTTGTTAGTCCCCACCACAACAAAAGAGTACAGAAGTAGCAGAAACCAATTGGCATCTGGTGCAGCGAGTGGGATCCTGCTTAAGTCCAGCTCATTGAAACTATTGATTGCCACAACCTATTCGGTTGGCTTCAATCATGGACTAATTAAATTCTTTGGTTCGTCTGAAGAAAGAAACTATATAATTAGTTTTTTTCATCTGATTTATATGAGAGAAAATATCTGTCATGATTGGTACTGAAAATTTACGATCGTTTGAACTTACAAAACCCCAGCCAAACGGACAGGCTGTGGGATAATCTAATAGTGAAAAGACAACAGAAAGAGAACGATTGCAACAGGATGTGTATTGGCATCTTCTCCCAGGATACGCAGGACGGCAGTATTGAAGATTTGTTGTTTTGTCTGTTCTACTGTTAGCGAGGGTAAGGTTTGCCACTTACACCCTTCCCCAGACCCCGCATAGAGTGGGAGCTCTCTGCACTGGGTACGCCCTTTTTAGTCTCTGGGGGTCTAGGCGGTGGATGCGTTATGGCATTTCTAGGTTAATATAAGTGAAGAAGCATATGTTCTACTCCCTTAGTCCCAAAATAGTTGACACTTTAGCTATAAATATCTAGATTCAAAGCTAAAGTGTCAACTATTTTGGGACGGAAGAATATATACTGTTCAGGTTTATTTCATATTCTCCAAAGAAACTAAAAACCGAGTGCTAACTAGTATAGGTCATTTCCCTTACATAAGTTGCCAAACTACTAGTGGAAAGGTTTAGAGAAAATCCTGCACATGCTCCATAACAAAAGGCTGAAAAAACTGAAGTTTATACATTTTATTTTTATTTTTCCTGTAATTATACTAACCTAACCTATTGCTTTGGGTGGATTGCTTAGATACTAATGCGAAATATTTCAACAATGTAGATTAGATAAGAGAATATAGTTCTCTTTTTTCTTCAAATCATAGTAAACCATGAAACATTGAGGTCAACCAACAAACAACTTCAGAAGGTACTATTAGACACAAAATGGATGAACTAAAATGTGATGAAAAATGAGGTGCATGGCATAACAAATTGTAGTTAGTTTTACGCTAGTCAATTTTTCATATAATAAGAAACTTAGGGTTAAATTTATAGCCCGAAGAATACAACAAATTCATTCACCCTCGCATATCCATGTACAACACAAATGAAACATGAGTAGCCATTAGACACAAAACATATATAATTAACAACTATAATTTTGGCATCTTAAACAATGCAAGCTGCAAATCCCAGATCATAGAACCAAATTATTTGTCTAGACCAGACAGTATCCCCATGTGAACAACATTCACAATGCTTGAAACATTCTGGACCATTGCTCCATACTGTACATGCCAGCATTGAATGTGAAGCAATGTAGCGCTTCCCTCTCCCCCAACCCCACAAAAAAGGCCTGCAACTGACTGTTCGGTCCTTGCAGGCCTGTTAGCTTGGCTGATAAGACATGGCTGAAAGTACTGCTGGCTGATTTGTTGTGTTGTTGGCTGGAAAAATACGGCTTATAAGCCCAGCGAAAAGACAGCCACACTTCGAATCCACGGTCTTTCCTGTGACAATAACAGTAGTAGCATTTGATTTGACCACCCATGTTTTCATCGAATAACGAATGTCATCATCTTACATAATACTAGTAGCATCTTGAAACCATTCTAGAGGATTCCTGAGTGCCTTTCCCTTTCTACTACCATTTTTCTCCCCTGCGTTCCCCGCAAGCGAAACCACACGCATCGTGTTTGATTTTGACCAAGCCAACACAGGCAACAGGACAGCAGCACAGATTCTGGCCATTAGCCTCGCAATGTGGTACTGAAAGAAAGAGAACAAAAAGTGACGGGCCTGACAACTACGGGGGTCCGGGGGACGACGGACGGACTTAAGGACGACAAGGCTTTTCTGTACCCAATCATTCTCTTTTCTCTGGGCAAGAAGCCAAGAACTGGACCGCCTACACCCACCCTTATCCCATTTTTTTGTGAAAAAAATATATATCTCGGCGCAGCAGAAACGAAGAACCCTCACGAAACCCCAAATTAATCTAAGTCGCCAAATGAACTTGAGCAAGATTCTCCAAAATTGGAGATAGAAATATATCGCAAGTGAATGAATAGAGGAGAGAAGAGAAGTGGAGCAGACGGACCAGGGCGAGAAGGAGGTTCCTGGGGGAGTGGAACTGCTCCCAGTCGCGCTCCGTCGCGAAGTCCGCCATCCGCTTCCGCAGCGTCTCCAGGCTCACCGCCGCCGTCCTCACCTCGCCATCGCGAACACCGCCGCTAGCGCCGCCCTTCTCCTCCCCCTCCATGCTCACCGCCTCCTCCGCAACGTTCATCTCCGCCCTAACCTTGCGATTTATTAATTTTGTTTTCTAATTCCTCTGCCCTTGTTGGTGAGGGACCTAGCACTAGTTATTATGGTCTTATGGAGGTCAATACGGCGAGGAGGATTGAGAGGGGATAGGAGGCTATAAATAGGGGGAGGGTGGGAACAGTCATCACTGGGGTTGGGGCCAGCACAGTACAAGTTTTTTTATTTGGAAACGCGAGGGGTTCACATCTGGGCCGGCCCGCCCGCGACGGAACGGGGAATGGAGATCATGGGCCGCCGCAGTCCACCGTCCGCGCGCTACTTTCTTTCTGCTGTGCTGAGAGAGAACACTGTTTATCTTGAGAGAAAATAATATTCTCCTAAGAAAATACTATTCAGTTCAAAATTTTTAACTGAGAAATATGCCCGTACGTTGCCGTAGGAGAAAAATATATCAAATGTCAATGAGAAACAACGACGGGAATGATACATGTCTATCTATGTTTTATCCTTTCTATAAATTTAAAATCTATAATTTATTTGATGATAGCCATGACATCCATAATATAAGTTAATGTTGTCAATAATGTGACAATTTCCTATTAAGCCTGTATTGTGTTAAAATACAACCTTGATAGATTATCATGTTGCAAAGCATAGAAAATTTAGATGTCAATATATCGTAACTTTAATTTTCATACTATCCATGTGTCGCTAAAGTTAAAAAAAAACAAGCTCTCTAAAACTTTCTTTGAGGAATCAAAATATGTAATTCTAATCTATGAGTAAGCTGGGCAATGAATTACTTACGGATGTGTCAGGAATTATTCTATCCACTGAGGATTATGAAAAAAGACCTTTGATTTTTCATATCCCCTTGTCGGAGACTGCATATATGCATTTATTTATATTGTGGTTTAATTAGTCGAACCATCGACTAATCTAGATTTAGTAAGAATAAAACTTTATTTCTAATCCAAACATCATCAATTTTGTGGTGTAAATCTTTGTTTTCTAAACAAAGGTCTAATCTATGATTAAAGTGTGCAAGGAATTGCTCAATGACGTGTCAAGAATTGATCTATCCCGAGGATTATGAAAAGAGACCTCTTTTGATTTTCCATATGCTCGGAGACTACGGATTTATACTAGTGCGGTTTAATTAATCGAACCATTGGCTAATCTAGAGATTAATAAGAATAAGTTTTTATTTCTAATCAAAACATCATCAATTTTGTGGTGTAGATCTTTAGCAACACATGGATAGTTCAAAGATCTATAATTTGTTTCCAATCAAAACATCGTCATCGATCCATCTGGTGGTGAAAATCTTTATTTTTTTTAAAAAACAATGGTTTAAACATCTATAATACTATATTTATTATTTATTATTGAAGTCACGTGAACAAAAAAAACAAAAAAATCGAGCGCAATAAAGTCAGTCTCAGTGGATAGTTTCATGGCGTTGTTTCCAGAACTACCATGTCACTAGTATAGTACCCGTGCTAACGCTACGGCTTCATTGAAGGATGTACATAGAAACAATCAAACAACGATTTTTTTCCAGAGTTCAACTTTCACACAATTGTATATGACCATATATATACAATCCGGAAAACACTTACACGTAACAAGGCATAATAAAGTTATTTCTCGCATTAACCATATAATTTACAATATGCCTAAGTCCTTAAACATGTCTTAGAGATCTTTATGGCCACTTCATGCAAACTTCATCCCAAATAATCAAAGATGCCATACCAAGCTTCTTAAAGTAGATATAGCTTCTTAAAGTAACTCTATAATTCACTTTTGATAAATGAAAAAAAAATTGTATTTGATCTTTTTTAAAATTAAATAGTAGATATAGTCATAAATATATGTGCGCAACCGTGATGGATATTTATCTAGTTGTTCCTCGGTTTCTCCCTCTCTCCCATTCCGTTTTTCTTTATTAGATGATTTTTGGATATTAGAAAGCTAACTAATGAAAATTATTGGACAAAAGAAAAAAAGCATTTCTTCTTGGCATAATCAACTGATTTATCAAGTAAGTTTTAAGTACTCCATCTGTTTTAAATTATAAGTCTAGATACATACTCCCTCTATTTCAAATTATAAGTCGCTTTGACTTTTTTTTCATCCATTTTGTTATGTATCTAGACATATTATTATATCTAGATACATAAACAAATGGATGTACAAAAAAATCAAAGCAACTTATAATTTGGAATGGAGGAAGTAGTTTTTACTATGTATATAGACATAATGTATATTTAGGTGCATGGCAAAAGCTATATATCTAAAAATTGGAATAAAACTAATTGTCTCTAGCTTGCGTGTTATATTTCATAATGGCCTTTTATTTTCATAATCACGTGTCAAGTCGGTTCATTTATTTTGTAAACTCGGTCGGGGCGTGTAGTGTGTTACTTTTATAACACAATGGTCTAACTCCTCTCTTTGTAACACAGTGGTCTAACTCCTCTCTTTGATACCAAATGTGCTAAACTTCTTCATCGATCTCCACTCTGTGGACCCGGGCTATAAGTGACCCATTTTGCTTCCTTGTCCAGGGTGCCGCCGTTGGTATTTTATGAGAAGAAAGGGGTAGACCTTTCCAGGTTTAGCCACGCTGCAGACGCTCCACTGCTCCTACTGGCGCGTGGGGTCACCAAACCAGGTCCCACGTGTTCTTGACGGAAACATGCGAGTGGGTATGTTGGCAAGTCTGTCGCCATTCCTTATTGATGCAATACCAGAACGGCACGGAGAGTTTTGGAAGGGGCGCGTCAGATGGGGCCGGGCTCGGCGTAGGTTTTTCCATTATAATGACAATTTTAGAAATTTCCTTGATCAGAGTCACGGATCCCTCTTTCCTATTTGCCTTGATTGACTTTCATATTTGCCTTGATTGACTTCTATTGGTTTCCATTTTACCGTAGCCTGTGGGATGTGTGAGGCGTGCGTTGAAGCCTGGGCGGGGGAGATCCAAATAACGTTGGCCATCGGATCAAGTTGAAGCCTGTGAGAAAGGATTAGGAGCCATAGATTTTAATGATACGGTAATCCTAGGTACAATTTCGTTAGTGCACAATGGTTGTAGTCTCTCAGCGGGGAACTTTTTTTTGGAGACCTAGTATAGTTTTGATTGATCCCTTATAGTAGAGATATAAAATGAAATGAAACTTGGATTAAACATCCACTCCCAATGCAAAGTTTCATTCTATAGTTTCGTAGGCATTTAATTTCATAACTCATATAGAGTTGGTAATCGTACCAAGAGAGTTTCATCTAGATTAAAACTCATTTCTTCTCTTTCTTCTTAAATGCACTGTTATGTCATTAAAATGTCTATGTAGCAACCTACTTAATGCAAATAAAACTCATATGAAACTTTCATTGAGATTGGCCTAAAAAGACATGTAAACAAAGCGTGACAAGAAACACGGAAACAAATTGGAAATCAGAAACGTAGAATAAAAAACGAAAATAAACAAATATCTAGAAGTCCGTAACAACCAAGTGGAGCGAGCTTGTCCAGAACTAGAAAACAACTAAACATTGTTCGACAACTGTATGCACGCATGCATTATTGGCTCCGTTCGCTTCGCTGAAAAAACAAGACGAAACACTGCTCCGGCTGATTTGTTGTGAGAAAAATACTGTTCCAATTGAAAAAACAAACTAAAAAAGATGGATTATAAGAGAAGCAAACATGACATTATCAGAGATTCAGGATGACCACCGAATGGGAACCTGAACGGGACAAGTTTGAGAACTCGATGCCGGACGGGAGCCAAAAAAAAACACAGCGGCCGAAACGAAGCACAACACATGAGTCGGGTTACATTGGGATATAGAGGGCACGGCCAACGTCTTTGAATTGGAGTTGTCTATCATTATTGGACGTAAGTTATTCTAATGGCGTAGGTCCTGTAAGTTCGGGTTACATACGAGGTTATGCGGGACAGAAGAAACTCTCCTGCGTACGATCGTTAGGGAGGGGTGGATAAAAAAATAAACTAAAATTTTATCTCTTTAATATTAGGTATAGAAAATACTAGTATCTCTTAGAAAACCTATTTCATACCCTGTTTGTTTACTGGACTAAAGCTTAGTCACCTTTTAGTCATCCCTTTAGGACTAGAGGGGACTAAACTACTTTAGTCACCTTTTAGTCACTCTGTACGTCATTTTAGAGGCTAAAAATGATTAAAGTTTAGTCCCTAAAGTTTAGTCACCCCAAAGCAAATAAACCCTTATACTGCCTCTTTTAGAAACACATCGAGTATTAAGTAGTGATCGATGGATTACATCAACTTACATAACACAAGATTCATCCTAGAATCTAGCTCTGTCCATGAGTGCTAGCGTCATCCGTAAGCCTCTTGGCATGACTTCAGACTTAGCCAAAAATAAGAAGGTGTTGTTTCGATACCGGGATATAGGGTGGGATATGAAATGAGGGTGATGCATAACTTATCCATTGTTTGTTTTAGGGAAAAAGAAATAAATACGAATAGGAAAAGGGATATGTCATTCTCATTTCCCACCGGTCATATCCCATCGGGTGGGGTGGGTTACTAGCGGGTACCTAGTCCCGTGCGATAGCCACCCTTGCCTTGCTATCGGGCGGCGGTGCAGGTCTCTATCGCTGTGCTCGACTCCCACGTGCATGGGAGGCCGGATCCATTTTTCCAGCAATTGTCTCCCATGTGCCAGGCAGTCGGAGCCATGTTCGCCTCGCTCGCATGCGGGCCTACAGAGCTATCGTTTCCTTCCACGTGCACAGGCTTTGGAGCTGTCATCGCCTTGCTTGCGCGGCGCCAGCATGCCATCGAAGCCTTGCTCTCGTGTGGGACGTAGGAGATGTGGGCTTCGGGAACGATCTGTTGCCTTGCTTGCCTAAGGGATGCCGCCGGACCCGTCACGCCTAGGTCACCATCATAGACACCCCTCACCTCATGGCCACACAGCCGCCGATGCCACCTTGTG